AATTCAGAAGTGGATTTGTCAGTGCAGTCAAGTCTTCAGAGACTGCAACCCCATGAGAGACCCTAACCTAGACCTACCTAGATAAATGCCTAGATTCTTTTTTAAAATATTTTTTTAAGAGAGAGAGAGAGAGAGAGAGAGAGAGAGAGAGAGAGAATTTTTTAATATTTATTTTTCAGTTTTTGGTGGACATAAAATCTTTATTTTATTTGTATGTGGTGCTGAGGATTGAATCATGCCAGGTGAGTGCACTACCGCTTAAGCCACATCCCCAGCCCTAGATTCTTGACCCTAGGAAATGATGTGAAATTATTATTTTGAACTGCTACATTTTCAGTAATTTTTTGTACAGCCACAGATAATACACTTGGGTAAGCATGAACAGAAGTGCATCTCTAAATATCTAGCATGGTGCCTGACACATAATTCAATGCTTAAAAAAGGAAAATCCACACTTATTTCCCACTTCTATGCCTTTGTATAGATGATACTTCTCCAATTATGCCTGTCAAAATTCTTCTACCACTCTTAAATATGTTTCTAGAAAAGTATTCTCTGATCCCTTCTCCCCAAGGTAACTTAGGTGAATGGAGAGCTCATCCTTCATTATGTATGCATCGCTTAGGGTCCTAGTCTCTCTCTCTGCCCATCTGCACATCTAGTATTTTCTCCTCATCCTTGGGAAACTTGGAACAACCTGAAGACAGTGGCCAAATCTAACTCTCCATGGCACCCCCACCCCACCATGTGCCCCAGCTCTTGCATGGCAGGTGCTCAGGCAGACTGGCAAAGCTGAAGGAAACAGGGGTGCAGCAGGAAGTGGGGAGCACCCAGAGCCARRGAAGGAGTCTGGGCCAGGATGGGGCACAAGTGGGGCCAGCCCTCCCTGCCTTTGTGGTGCCAACAATGGGTGCAGCATCTCTCTGAGCCCTCCCCTGGGACCCCAAGTTCCACTGGGCCCTGCCTGCAGGATGGTGCCTTCAGTAGGCATTCTAGGGACCTAGTTGACATGTAAAACCTCCCCCATCCCAGTATTGCCACCTGTCAACTCCAGGGCCATTCACTTCACATTGGCTCCAAGTCTGAAAGTTCACATTATRGGACCCTAACCTCTCCTGTGACCTCCACAAAATCTCAGCCCCTTCTGGGCCTCAGTTTCCCCTTCTCTCCAGGGTTGCCCTGCGGGCCTTCCCAGCTCTGACCAAAGAATATGCCTGCCTCCTACCCACTGGTGAGGGTCCCCCCAGGGGTGAGTCACAGGGTGGGAGGAACACCCAGCCCACCTCCTCATGGAAGCCTCTCCTTCACAGGCAAGAGGGGATGTGTCACTGTGACCATGTCTTTCTGGAAAATTCCCACAGTCCAGGTCTTTCCTGGGTTTCAACTGGAGGAACCATGCGTCCTTCTTGCTCCCATCTCTTTATTTTTGACCTTGGCAGGCTTGATGTGGTGGCCTGTGCGGGTGTTCCCTTTTAATTTGGGGTCTGAAGCCATCTGAGGACTGGATCAGTAATTATGTGTACAGAGTCATTTATGGAAACAGCTCTTGAAGAAAGTCAGTAATGAGACCTGGCTKAAGATACCTCAGAAAGAACCTGGGCCTCCTCTCCCCAGAGCTGAGGTTTCTGGTGGGAGAAACCCCTTCAGGAGGCAAGATCAACAGGTCCTCAATCCCACAGCTCTTCCAGGGGCCTCAAGGGGCTGTGGAAACCAGGGTCTTTTCTTAGATCTGAAGTGGRGCTCCCGCAGCCTTTGTTACCAGCAGGACTAGCCAGACAGGCCTAGCCTGTCCGCCTTCAGGGCCCTGGGGAGCCTGTCCCGACCCTCAGGGGCCAGGCTGGGAGAATCCCACAGCAACATGGAAACCTCAGTGGCTTCTGATGGAGAAATACTGTGACGTGGAAGGCACCCCCAGACGGGCATCTGTGCCCCAGCCCAAGGGGCTGTGAGTGCTGGGAACTGAGCCACTGTCCTGGGGACAAGAAGTCCTAGGGAAAAACAAGCAGGCACCACCCTGCCCCCAGGTCCCCAGAACTCAGGAGGCTCAATGAGCAGGCTGCTGGGAGCCTCCTATGTCCATCCCCCATGTTCAGCCCTCGCCCTCCAAGAGCCCACCATCCTGCCAGGCAGCTGAGCCAGGGGAAAGAGGGCAGATCAATTATGGGGTCTGTGGGTGGTCAGAGCAGGCTCCTCAGTGAGGGGAAAGTAGCCTTTAGACATGGTGGGAAGGGACAACTCAGGAGAGGGAGACCTCCAAGGGACCTCTGGGAGGAAGGTGCCTGCAGGTAGGGGGCACCAGGGGCCACGACAGACAAACAGACAGTCAGTGGGGCCAGCTCAGGGGGGCCTAGGCTCCCCCTTGGGCCTCCAAGGCTGGGAAGGATTGGAAGGGAGGCTGATGGGCTGGTCAGAAACTTGTCCTCCTGACAGCCTCACTGAGCTGGAGGAGGAGGGTGTCTTTTGATCCGACTCTTGGTGAGAAACAAGACAGGTCACCTGGGTGAGTCTAATTTTGTCCAAGAAACAAAAATAACCAATGCTCTTTTGGTGTCAGGCTGATGGACACCAGGTTTGGCATCTGGTGGTCCATCCTATGAGTGGTGGGCACAGGGCCCTGGAGTGGACAGGCAGAATGTGGACAGTGCTGTGGCCAGGGAGGCCGCCTGCTGCCCTCAGTGGGCCTTTCCCAGAAGCGTGGGATCCGGAGGTGGTTTGATCAGAGGCTGGAGGAGGAGGCTGAGGGTTCCGTTGGCACATGTTGGTGATTCATGATTGTTTATTATTCTGGTAGCCACATTAAGGTGGTTCAGAAACTAAATCCATTTACTGCTTCTCCAAACAGAAGCTGGTTCACTGTTCAAAAAATTTAGGCCACTTTTGTAATTCTCTCAATAAACATTGAGAGGTGACTGTGGAACCAGACATAGCTTTGACATTTCCTGTACCCAGTGAATTGGCTTTTGCATATGGCTTTTCATCATTTTGCTAATCTGTCTTTGGGATTCTTTCATCAAAGGGTAAATTCATATGAATGAATACATATGAGAATGCTCGTGCCTGATCTTACTTCTTTCTCAAAGTCCATCTTGAAAACCCTATGAAAAGCACCCAGTCCCCTTGCCTTTTTTTTTTTTTTTTGATACCAGAAATCGAACCCAGGGGTGCTTAATCACTAAGCCACATCCCCATCCCCTTTTTCTTTTGAGACAGGGTCTCACTAAGTTGGTTAGGACCTTGCTAAATTGCTGAAGCTGTGATCCTTAGGAGCTTGCTAAATTGAACTTGTGATCCTCCTGTCTCAGTCTCCTGAGTTGCTGGGATTACAGGCATGAGCCATCATACCCAATTCACCCTCTGCTTCCTTCATACCACATACCAAAGAAACAGTATCCCTTATTTTACTTGTTTTTGATTATATTCCATCTCTCCCATTAGATTGTAACTACATGAGATATCTGTCTTGTTCACTGAAGTAGTTCCAGTACCCCGAGCAGTGTCATATGTGAATCAATGAGCAAACAATTACATCTATTTAGAAAAAAAAATTTTTTGAAGTCCTATTCTGAGGGAGAAGTAAAACTTCAAAAGACACCCTGATGTGCTATGGGACACAGCTGGTCCATTTCTTCTCCTCCCTGGGGGTGAAACTTCCCAACTGCTCCTACGCAAACATGCCTGTCACCTGGCCCCGCCCAGGACAGCTGTGGGCCTGTCTATCTCTGGACCAGGGGCGATATGTGGGGACCACAAGGAGAGGAAGTGCTCTCCACATCCGCCTGGCAGCCTAGCCTGGTGCTTTTTAAAACCTGACCTGTGGTCACTGAGCCCAGTAGCCAGAGAGAGTTTTTAAAAAGACTCAGATACATATAATTAAAATCTCAGTGTTGGGTTTTAGAGAAGGCACTGGGCAACTCCCACCCTGCTTTCCGGAAACACAGATTTTTGGTGTTTGAAAGTGACAGGGAGCTAAAGTGAGACTGCCCTAAATATACCATCCTGAGCAGTTCTGAGTCTCTGGGCAAATGTGGATTTGTTCCACAGCCGTGGCCTTTGCCCAGACAGCTGGGCCAGTCCCACCACTGGCCCCACCTCGGCTCTCACCTCCTGCCTGTCTTTCACCCTTCACCCTTGCCTGCACAGGGTCCTCCAGTCTGCCTCTCAGACCACGCTGCCACCTACTGACATGAGTAGCCCAAGGCTTCACCCCTCCCACAGGTGGGCCCAGCTAGACCCACTGCTGCTTCCAGAGTGTGAAACTGTGGGAGGTCCCCAGCCCCCCTCACCAGTACACACCACYCCTCTCTGCCTAGAGCACACCTTGCCACCTCACCACCCACTGAGATGTCTTCCCATTCATCACCTCCTTATGGAGGCTGCTTAGATCCCACTTCCCAGAACTTGAATAGGACTCCCCAGGAGTCATCCTACCTTGGTGCTCCTTGTTCCTTTCTCTGTCCCTCTTCTTCCTTCTTAGCCCCACAAAAGGCACTTGGTAGTTTCATCCTTGGTAGTTTCTGGCAGTGGTGTCCCTCCCTGCCCTCAGGTCATTTTACCCTGGGCCTTGCTCTACTGGCCTGTCCTCTACAGTGCCCTATCCCTGGACACTGAGGCAAATTTGCACTCAAGCCTCACGGTCCAGCTCAGCCGTCATGTATATCTGAGCTCTCCCCGCCTCTGTGACCTTTTCCTGCTTTGGGTTTCATGTCCATCTCCCTTTTAACCTAGGAGCTTCCAGAAGAGGGCCTTCTGCTCTCTCATCTGTGGGTTCCAGGGTCAGGAAAGGGCCTTGTAGGAGACAGGTACAAGTGGGGTTCTGGCTTGTGGCTTGTAGAGCACTTGTGGAAGTCCTTTCTACATGACCTCATGAAGCCCTGTCTACACCTCCCCCAGAAAAGCCTGGAACAAGCCTGTCTGTGGAGGAGAAAACTGGCCTTACCCTACTTCAGAGTCCATGCCAACCCAGCTATTAGTGACCACCTGGCTCCCACTTTGTTTTCCAGTGGAACGTGACCGCGCCCTGGGCCACCAGGAGCCCCACTGGAAGGAGTTCCGCTTTGATCTGACGCAGATCCCAGCAGGGGAGGCTGTCACTGCTGCAGAGTTCCGGATTTATAAGCTGCCCAGCACCCACCCCCTCAACACAACGCTCCACATCAGCATGTTCGAGGTGGTCCAGGAGCACTCCAACAGGTGCCTCCCTCGGCCCAGGCACCTCCCATCTCATGGGCTCCTGGTCAAGGCTCTGGCAGKGTGTCCTGCCCCACCTGGGGGGAAAGGGCATTTCCCAGAGAAAGAAAGGGGAGCTTCCTGGGAGAAGAGCCTCAGAGATGGGAAAGATGCTGGGCCAGACAGTTCCTGCCCTGCCATCCTGACTGTGGGCCCCTGGACGGGTCACTGAGCCACTGAGTCTCAGTTTTCCCACCTGCACAGTACCATGTTTTGAATTGATTATTAGTGAAATAAGGCACAGACAGAGCTCAGAGCCAGGGCAGGATAGATGTTCCAGTAGTGGTCCCTAGGTGGCACGAGACCCACAAAGGTAGCTGGACCGGCCCTCAGCCATCAGTTAATTGTTCTTTCGTGTCCACAGGGAGTCTGACTTGTTCTTTTTGGATCTTCAGACGCTTCAAGCTGGGGACGAGGGCTGGCTGGTGCTGGATGTCACAGCAGCCAGTGACCGCTGGTTGCTGAACCGTAACAAGGACCTGGGACTCCGTCTCTATGTGGAAACTGAGGATGGTGAGGCTCAGGGTCTGGGCTGGGTGAGCTCCCCTGGGGCTCCAGGAGGCTGTGCCAGCTGAGGCCTCTAGAACTGTCCAAAGTGACCTCACTGGTTCTTGGGCGCCTGGCCTTTCTCTGCTGTGCCCACTGTGAAGACTCCAGTGGGTAGATAGAGTGAGGTCCTGGACACAAGGATGCCCTCAGCCAGAGCTGCTTTTCCTCCCCTTCTTCTGAGGAACATCTGGGGTGCTGAGAGTCCAAGTGTCCTTCCCCAGGAAGGGGCAGTTCCCCCTGCAAGAGGCCCTCCACACGGGCAGTTCCTGTGCTCCAAGGACAGTAGGGGGAGGTG